CAGCAATGACAGATTTCCTCCGGCAGCCTGGAGGAGGGGAGATCAGCGGGTCGTCTTGCGTTAATGAGAGTTAACGCACAAATGGACAGTTTAGAATGAGACTTGCTACTGAACTGTGTTCTCTGCCCACAGGGTGACAGTGGGGGGCCTCTGGTCTGCACCACAGAATCTAGCAGGACGTGGTACCAGGTGGGGATCATCAGCTGGGGAAGGAGCTGTGGAAGGAAGAACACTCCAGGAATATACACCTTGCTAGAAAATTATAGCCCCTGGATCCAGAAGGTGACGGAGGTGGAGGGAAGGCCCCATAGGAGTAAGGAAATAAGACCTGCTTCCTCACTGCTGCCAGTGAGATCCCAGGCCTCAGAATTCCCGGGGCCCTGCAGCCCCAGACTCCAGCTCCTGCTCTGCCTTCTGTCCTACATGCTGTCCGAGGCCATTTTCTACTTACGATAAAACAGGTGTTATTCTGTAACCAGAGAAGGTGTACCAGAATGTGCTTGAATGATCGTAGCCATGCGACTTAAGCAGGTAGCCAGGTGGAGGGGACAGATGTTGACAGGGACCGTTTCTCAAAAAGGGCTCCCAAGTGGTGGCCACAGCGACCTCCAGTTTGCATCCTACCAGGTAAGCAGCCTCAGTAGGAACAGGGAGCCTTGTTCCTGATAATTCCAGCAAAAGTGCAGGGTCTAACCCTTGTGACTCACAAGCCCCATACAGGACCTGAAGGAGACCCTTATCTCTTGTAGCCACAGGGCTGAGCTGGCTAAAAATCACACTCACTGTCTCACCCTGCGACTGGCTNAGCTTCGACGTCTGCAGGAAGGAGACCCTTATCTCTTGTAGCCACAGGGCTGAGCTGGCTAAAAATCACACTCACTGTCTCACCCTGCGACTGGCTGAGTTACAGTGTGAGCTGCAGCCCCAGGCTTGCGGGGGGTCTTACTGATAACGTAAAGGCACTGATTGGGAGGGAAGGGGGTCCTGAACATTTGAACGGGGAGCTGTGTGAGAAGACTCTGATGGAGCTGGGGGCATCGGGCTCCGAAGAGCTGATGAATCTTCTTTGCCGGTGACAACGGTCTCTCCGCCCTCAGTAAGAGTGACCCCTTTGCCCATCCGAGGGTATTAACCCAGCGGACCCCTAAAGGTGAGGCGCAAAGTGTGGCCTGTGAGGAGGGGCACTGCACTCCAAAGGAATGACTTGAGTTTTCTAATTCATACAGATAGAAATCTGGGCAACATGGGAGGGAGTGGATATTAGGGTGGGATAGTGGTGGAAGGAGCATAAATTTAGATCAGGTGAATTGATGGATATGGGCTCATGAAGCAGGGATTCTGCATCTAATATTACATCTAAGGCTGCGTCTGCATCTACGGTTCCCAGAGTCAGGAAGGGCTCTAGCAGTTTGTGTGGCTGTTTGGATGAAAGAGGGGCCACAGAGAGTGAGTTAGAAATGCTGGACCTGCCTGGGTGTAATGCAGAGGAAGGGATTCAAAGACTTAGGGGGACTGTAATGTTGGCGTGGGCTTCTCATGTGAGACCTAGTCACCCACCCTGGGAAGGTCCAGAAGACATGCCTTTCACCACGACTGTGAGAAATAAGTTTGGGAGGGGAGCCCAGCATCCTAGGAGAGCTCTGTGATAGCTCTCCTATGTAGGCCGGACCTCACAGGGAGACCTGCAGTCACTGAATTCAGAAATCTAAACGCAGTGGGGGTAACTGGATCCCATCTCAGGGTGGCAGCGGCCAAGTGGTGACATCAACCACCAGAGGCAAGGTGGGTGTGGTCACTGAATGGACAGAGAGTCAAGGCAGCAATCAGAATAGTCTGACATGTGCCGAACCATGGTGCTAGCTAGTCGATCATGGTGTTCCTAGAAGTGAGATAGGTAGGAAGCCTACTAAATGCTTACTTGTTCTGAGCAAGTAAAAAAGTTCTAGATCAAGTGATTAAAGTTTAATATGAATCATAAAAACAGAGACCCGTGACCCCTCACTCAATTTCCAGACTTGGGCCAGTTTACAGACCCAGCGCCCCTTGAATGAAGAGGAGGCTGGGTCCCAGATGAGGGGCTCTAGTACACCAGCAAATGTTTATACTGTTAATATATCTCCAAAGGGACCCATGGCCTTTCACCAGAGTTACTGCACTGGGGAAAAGAGATAATCAGGCCTTTGGGGGACTACAGGACACTGGCTCTGGCCTGACACAGGTTCCAGGAGACCCACTGTCACTGTGGCCCACCAGTCGGAGGTCAGGTGATCCATGGAGCTTTAGCTCAAGTCCATCTCACAGTGGGCCCAGTGAGTCCCCAAATCCAGCCTGTGGTTATTTCCCNTGCCAAATCCAGCCTGTGGTTATTTCCCAGTTCTGGAATGTATAATTAAAATAGAATACTGAGCAGCTGGCAGAATCCCCACATTGGTCCTGGCCTGTGGAGTGAGGGATATTATGTGGGAAAGGCCACGTGGAAACCACTAGAACTTCTCCTACCTAGGAAAATAGTGAACCAGAGTAACACCACATTCCTGGAAGGATTGCAGAGATTGGTGCCACCATCAGGACTTAAAGGTGGGAGTGACTCCCCCACCTCCCCACCTATCCCTCCTATCTGGCCTGGGCAGGAGAGTGCTAGGTCTCTGAGAAGACAGAGGATTATTGTAACTTAACCGGGTGGTGACTCCAATTGCAGCTGCTGTACCANAGGAGAGTGCTAGGTCTCTGAGAAGACAGAGGATTATTGTAACTTAACCTGGTCGTGACTCCAATTGCAGCTGCTGTACCACATGTGGTTTCACTGCTTGAGCAAATTACCACACCTCCTAGTATTTGCTATGTAGCTGCTGACCTGGGAAATGCTGCATTCTCCACCCTGTTCATAAGACTCACCAGAAGCAGTCATCTTTCAGCTGGCAAGGCCAGCATTACACCTTTAGTGTCCTACCTCAGGGGCATATCAACTCTCCAGGCCTGCTTCGGAATTTAGTTTTCAGGGCTCTTGATCACAAGACTCCTTTCCCTTCCACAAGATACCACACTGGTCCATGGCATTGATGGCACTATGCTGACTGGACCAAGTAAGCAAGAAGTAGCAACCACTCTAGACTTATTGGTGAGACATTTACATGCCAGGGAGTGGGAAACAAATCGGACAGATTTTAGGATCCTTCTACCATTGGTGAAATTTCTGGGTCACCCCACCAGGTAAGGAACCGTGTCCAGCTGAGGTGCTTGCTGAGTGCCCAGGACATGCAGAATAGGGAGTGGAAGATGGTGGTTATAGACACCAGCTGTGACCTTATGACCAGGTATAGAAACAGGGACTGTAATTCTCGTATTTTCCCTTATTTTGTTATGAATGTTTGTGTATATATTAAACAATCTTTGTTTTCTTTCTTCTTATGCAACATAAGTTATATTGACTTCATATCATAGTTTCTAAGTATTGCTAGCTTTGTATGGGACTTTATATGGAATCGTACTTAAGTTACAGGATATCAAGGAAAACACTAACACCAGTCAAGGATATCACCTCCTCTTCTCTAAAAAAGGTTAGTGCGATCATGTATCACTTTAGGGAGACGTATGACCATGTTATTGCCTTTATTTGGAGGTTAAGTTGGTTTAAGGAGATGCATATGGGAGTCGAGGGGTGGACTTGGGATGCTTAATTTTATGTTTCCATGCGGAAGGTGTTTTTGGATAAGATTAATATTTAAATTGTGAAACTTTGAGTAAGCAGATTTCCTTCCATCATGTGGGTGGGCCTCATCCAATCAGTTGAAGTCTTGAATTGAACAAAAAGACTGGCTTCCCTGAGCAAGAAGAAACTGTCCAGCAGATTGCCTTGGGACTTCATCTGCACCATCCGCTCTCCTGGGTCTCAGGACTGCAGCCCACACTGCAGACTTGGACTTGTCAGTCCCCATAAGCACAGGAGCCAATTCCTTATAATAAATCTCTTTATGTATATACACACACACCTTCTATTGGTCCTGTTTCTCTGGAGAACCCTGACTAATGCAGTGAGGAATAGCTTCAGTACAGTGAAGGGAGCTGCTGCAGTAATGAGCTGGGAGCAATGCTGCCGTGTAACATTGATCTGAGCAATGCAGGCTTCATCAGGATACGGAAACTGAGTTTAAACATCACCCAGTCAATTCACCGACGATTGGTCATGCCAGATGATTATCGCGTATGCCCCATCAGAGTTTAATACCTAGTGCAGTTCCTAAACCGGGCACTGAGGTGCCCAGGGGCACTACTGCAAACTCATGGGACTCGATGGAAAGACAGAGACATCTGTTGGACGTGGAAGGAAACAGCATCATCTGTCAGACACTGAGCCAACAGCTACTATTGAGTTATTTGGACTTAACTACTTCATAAATGCAGTCTTGAAGTATTTCTTTTGGCCTATGAGTGCTGTAACAAAAAGTTACTACGACACGAATGGTCCATGAACTGAGAAAAACTGGGAACCTCTGACCTGGTGGATAACTGCTGGTGTTAATACTTTGTATTTAAGAATCAAGTGTGAGCTGTAATAGTAATTTTGTGCATCTTGGCTGTGACAAGGTTCTCAGACTTTCCTTGTTTTTCATGAGCATGACCGTTTTTAGAAGTGCTAGTCAAGCTGCTGTTGAATGCCACGCTGCTGGAATTGGGTCTTTTTCTCATGACCAGGTTGGTGTTATGGGTTGGGGGAGGAAGGTCACAGAGGTAAAGTGCCATTTGGAACACATTATATCAAGAGTACATATCATCCATGTGACTTACAACTATTGATGTTGACCTTGGTCGCCTGGCTAAGACAGTGTTAGTTGGATCTCTCCCCTGCAAAGTTACTTTTTTACCGCCTTCCCTTACCGCCCTCTTTGGAAGGAAGTCACAGTGTCCAGCCCGCTCTTAAGGGCAGGGAGGTGAGTTCTGCTCCCCCTCCTTTGGGGGAGAGCATATTTATTTGGAATTATTCTTCATAAGATATTTGTCTCTTCTCTCCCATTTATTACTTTGTTCAATCTCTTACTTATATTAATATGGACTAGGAATACTTATGTTTACTTTGGGTTATAATCCAAAACAAGTTTTTAATTGTATTGCTGGAATTTTCCAGCTTTAGTCATTGGGAGTTCTCTGTTGGCTCCTGTGCCCCTTTAACATACCCTCCTCTGCGTGTGTGTGTGTTTTAAACACTTCCTTACTTTCTGGCCATGCAAGATGCTAAAAAGAACAGACTTTTAATTATGAACCAGTGAAATTCTTTTTGTTAAAGTTTTGTGTTTGTGTCTTACAATTGGAAGAGTTCTGACTGATAAAAGGGGACCAGCCTCACTCCTGCACAGTTTTTAAAATGTTTTATTTCTTTTTGACAAAAATTGTATATGTTTAAGGTATACAATGTGATATTGTGATATATATGTGTATATTGTAAAATGATTACCAAAATTAAACTAGTTAACATATCCGTCACCTCCCATAGTTACCGTGTGTGTGTGTGTGTGTGTGTGTGTGATGAGAACATGTGGGGTCTAATCTCTTAGCAAATTTCAAGTTTGCAAAATAGTCACCATGCTGTACATTAGGTCTCCAGAACTTATTTCATAAGTGAAAGTCTGTTTCCTTTCATCAACGTCTCTCTTTACCCCCTACCTCCCAGCCTCTGGTAACC